CCACAATGAGATATCACCTCACACCTGTCAGAATGGCTAAAGTAAAAAACACAAGAAACAAGTGCTGGCAAGGATGTAGAGAAAAAGGAACTCTTATGCACTGTTGGAGGGAATGCAAACCGGTGCAGCCACTGTAGAAAACAGTATGGAGATTCCTCAAAAGATTAAAAATATAATTACCATATGATCCCATAATTCCACTACTGGACATTTACCCAAAGAATACAAAAGCACTAATTTCAAAAGATAAATGCACCCCTATGTTTATTGCAGCATTATTTACAATAGCCAAATTATTATGGAAGCAACACAAGTGTCCATCAATAGATGAATGGATAAAGATGTACACACACACACACACATATACATATATATATAGAGAGAGAGAGAGATGTATATATATAAGAAGTTGTGGTGTATATATATATATATATATGATGTGTGTGTGTATATATATATAAAGATGTGGTATATATGTATATATAGATGTGGTGTATATATATAATAGAATATTACTCATCTATAAAAAAGAATGAAATCTTGCTACTTGCAACAACATGGATGGATCTACAGAATATAATGCTAAGTGAAATAAGTTAGATAAACACAAATACCATACGGCTTCATTTATATTTGGAATTTAAAAAACAAAACAAATCAACAAAGATAAATGAGACAAACAAAAAAACAGACTCTTAACTATAGAGAACAAACAGATGGTTACCAGAAAGGAGGTGGGTGGAGGATGGGTGAACTAGGTGAATGGAATTAAGAGTACACTTATCAGGGTGCCTGGGTGGCTCAGTCAGTTAAGTGTCCAACTCTTGATTTCGGCTCAGGTTGTAATCTCAGGGTCATCAGATTGAACCCCACGTTGGGCTCTCTGCTGGGCATGGAACCTGCTTAAGATTCTTTCTTTCTCTCTCCCTCTGCCCCTCCCCATCCCACCCACCCTCGACTCATGCTCGAGAGTGCTCTCTCTCTCAAAAAAAGGTAGAGTACACTTGTCATGTTGAGCACATAATGTATAGAATTATTGAATCACTACATTGTACACCTGAAACTAATATAACATTGTATGTTAATTATACTGGAATTAAAATTTTTTAAATGATTAAAAAATAAAAAGAAAAAGGTCACTTTCATAATATGTTGGAAATTTCATCCTCTGCAATTTAATATATATATTTATATATAATATTTATATATTTATATATAAATATATATGTTATATATAATATTTATATATTTTATATTTATATTTGTATATTTTATAAATATATATCTATATATAAATATATAATATTTATATATTTAATATAAAAATGTTAGATACCAACTCAAAAGTGTACAGAGGGGCACATAATTCCAAAAATACTTTTAGGGAACATCCAACAACAACAAAAAAGTATGCAGGCCCCTGCCCGACAGTGACTGATGTAGCCCAGTGTTTGTGTGCAAGCTATGGATCCCACAGCGGCCCTCCCCCTCACCTCCATGATGCAGGCCAGCTGCTCTGCTTCATTCTCCCCAGGGAAGAGAGGGTAGCCTGTGTACAATTCAGCCATGATGCAGCCCAGGCTCCACATATCAATGGCCATGTTGTAGGGATGGCCCAGAATCACCTCTGGGGATCTATAGAACCGGCTTTGGATGTAGGTATATACTGTGGGGAAAGAAAGAGAACCATCAGGTAAAATCCTCCTCTCCAAAACACACTTCCTCAGGACACCTTCTCAAGGGAAGGTTGAGGATAACTAAGACTCCCCCACCACTTTTCACTCTCCAGGCTTTTCAGGGAGATGGAAACACAAGTGCTGACCAGCACTTCTTTTTTTTTTTTTTAAAGATTTTATTTATTTATTTGAGAGAGAGAATGAGATAGAGAGAGAGAGCATGAGAGGGGGGAGTCAGAGGGAGAAGCAGACTCCCTGCTGAGCAGGGAGCCTGATGTGGGACTCAATCCCGGGACTCCAGGATCATGAACTGAGCCGAAGGCAGTCGCTTAACCAACTGAGCCACCCAGGCGCCCTGACCAGCACTTCTGAGTCAGGTTACGTATATAATCTCATCAAATCTTCACAGCAACCTGATTATCATGTGGTGTTACTATCCTCACTTTATTGGTCAAGAACTCTAAAGTAGGCGTTGTTCTAGGGAAAGATATTTAAGTTAGCCAAACTTTATAAAAAAGGAAACAGACTAATATAAAGCTAAATTTTCAAACTATCACGTTAATTTGGGGTAGATGCTTTCTGAAAGTATTGTGATTTGGCAAGGGAAGAGGCATATTAAAATGGAAAAAGAAACATGCAAAATGCACACTCTTCTAACGTGTATTCAACGTATTATGTGCATTGTGTTGTATAATGTAAAGAAGGAAGAGCCCACAAAATCTCAGCAGATAAAGCTGTACAGAAGACAGTACTATGGGGAGCCTAGATTTTACAGAGGTGGGAGAAACGGGACACTACAGTTACTTCCACATGCTGACATTCTTTACCCAGATACTGGCAGGGCAAGGATTCTGTAGTCACTTGTCTGTTGTTTGATTGTTTACAGTAAAAACATAACTAAAACAAAATAAAGATATAATAAAAATGACTTTTATACCCTGCCTACATCCAAAATGCTTTTGATGCGCTTTGCAAAGTACATATATACACAGTGTAACTTTAAAAAACGGATTTAATGGACACTTCTATAACCCTTAACATGTTGGGACACCTGGATGGCTCAGTCAGTTAAGCATCTGCCTTCGGCTCAGGTCATGATCTCAGGGTTCTGGGACCCGGTCCTGCATTGGGCTCCTTGCTCAGCAGGGAGCCTGCTTCTCCCTCTGCCTGCCCCCTCTCTCTCTCTGACAAATAAATAAATAAAATATTTTTTAAAAAATCCTTAACATGTGCCAGGCACTATTCCAAGTGCTTCATACAGAGCAACTCTCAGTCCTTATGACAATTTTGTGAAGCAGGTGCTATGATTGTCCCATTTTAAAATGAGAAAACTGAGGCATACAAAGATTAAATAAATTATCAAGGTCACTCAGCTATGTGGCAGAGCTGGGATTTGAACTCAGGCCGTTCAAGTCTGATATCCATACTCTATACTGCCTCATGGTTAAGATAAAGATAAAGGGAAGTCAGAAGCTATATAAAGGGGGAAGTGACTATCTGAAGGCCAGGACAGGATCATTACAAATTCTGCTGGCAGCCAAGGCAAGAAAGAGGCTGCACAGCTTTCATGGCTGAGAAGAGTAAGCAAATGAGTACTTTGTGGGAGGCAGACTGTTTTCTAGCTGGAATTTTTTATGGGTTCCGTATATGAAAGATAACATGTGTCTTCAAAAGTAGTGCTGCAGAATATTTAGAAACAACCATCTAGTAGTCTTTTCTTTAGCCTCAGGAGGCTTCCTCTGACACTCCCTGCCACCATGAAGGCTGGTCCCAAACCCCTCTTTGCTGTTGCCTTGATACAGTCTGTACGTATTTATAATCACTGCACCTGTCCTGTTACCTTTGTATCTTTGTTTCTTCCATTGAACTGTAAGCAATCAGAGCACAGGATGTGTTTGGTTTTTTGTTCCTATACCCAGAACGGTGACAAACACATACAAGATACTCAATTAAGTGTTTGTTAAATGGTACATGTTCTTGCCATCAAACTTGATAAAAGTCAAAGAAGAGGCACTTAAATCAAGTTCAGTGACAGTTGTACAAATGTACTCCAAGGCTGCTTTCTGGATTCTAGCCTGGAAAAAAATATAAAGTCTAGAGAGCTTAGGGCAGTGATTCCCAAACCTCAGAATGGCTGTGTGTTCTACAGTACAGACTGCTGGGATCTCCCCCAGAAATTTAGATTCGGTACATCTGGGGTGAGGCCCTGGGAGTTGTAAATTTTCAGAGGCCTCTAGTAATTCAGATGCACGCCTAGTTAGTTTTGGGAGCCAAGGCTCTGGGGTAATTCCAGATACAGAACTTAAGAGCTGTAAAGGACCTTTGTGGTATTTGAGTCCAATCTTCTCATTTTATAGATGAGGAGACTTAGGCTCAGAGAAGTGAAGCATCTTGTTCAAAATCACACCAGCAATTGCTGTGGCTGAGTCCGGACTAGAACCCAGGTGACCTCACATCGGAAGTGGTGTTTCATTCAGTAAGGGAAAGAAATCGCAATAGGAAAATTCAGACAAAGGGACCAGAACGTGCCTACCTTTCTGGTGTTCATAACAGCTTGATCCAAAGTCAATGACTTTAACAGAGACTTGGCCCTTTTGGTATAACACTATATTCTCCTAGAGAGAAGGAGAAAGACAGACGTCAGTTTTAATAATGTTGCTCTACACACTCTATTTACCAGAATGCCTGCCATCCTCCAGGACCCAGTTCAAAATGTGACCAGTTCCAAGTTGGCCTCCTCCCACATCTCCAAACACCATGTTCTCCGCCCTCCTCTGACTTCCCATTCGATTTGTGGTCTGTACCTCTTGTTTGGACCCAGCATTTGCTGCTTTGCAGTATTTCTTTTGCATATATTTTGTCTCCTTTCCCATATAGAATGTGTAACTCCTGAACCCTATGGGTTTATTTTTATCTCCTTGGCACCAGACTCTATCTCTTGCTTGCCTAAGGTCTTAGAAATATCACTGACTGAATTTAACGTTTCCATTAAGTGCTCCCCCAACATACTGATATGTCAGTAAGGGACCAAAAAAAGGCAATAATTTGAGTTGTGATTCTTTCGCTGACTTTGGGGAAAACGTGAAACCAGTGTCGCCGGAGAGTTGTGGTTAAGCAAGCAGAGCTCCTGGGCTCTCAGAGCATGAGGGTGTACTACCTAGGCCTGGAGTTTAAAGCCCCAGTCATATTTTCACAGCTCTCAGTATCAAATGAATTGACTATTATGAATATCAGATGAATTAGTTCCTTACTGAGTCCTTAACTTTCTAGATATGACACAGCAGGCCTGGTCTGAAGCCTCCAGCTTCACAAATTAAGAAAGTACAAATTTAGTCCATATACCTTTCCTAAAGAATATCTATATTAACTGGAAGAGTTCATTCAGCAAAAGTCGTTAAAAAGCAGACATTTCTAGTGTGTCTCCAGACCAGTGGAAAGGTTCCTTAACTAAATGGTGTAGGCCCTCCCATCATATTGACAGAAAAACTCTATAGTGGGGATGGATGCATCAGACCATCAGAGCTCACTGAAACTATCCTAACTCCTTGATTATTTTTTTAAATTTTAAATTCAATTAATTAACATATAGTGTATTATTAGTTTCCAGGGTAGAGTTCAGTGATTCATCAGTTGTATATAGCACCCAGTGATCATTATATCAAGTGCCCTTCTTATTGTCCATCACCCAGTTACTGCATCCCCCCACCCACCTCCCCTCCAGCAACCCTCAGTTTGTTTCCTATGATTAAGAGTGTCTTATGACTTTCTCCATCTCTAATTTTGTCCTGTTTTATTTTTCCCTCCCTTCCCCTAAGCTCATCTGTTTTGTCTCTTAAATTCCACATATGAGTGAAATCGTATGATAATTGTCTTTCTCTGATTGACTTATTTCGCTTAGCATAATACCCTCTAGTTACATCCACGTCATTGCAAATGGCAAGACTTCATTTTTTTTGATGGCTGATATATATACCACATCTTCTTTATCCATTCATCTGTCAATGGACATCTGGGCTCTTTCCATGTTTGACTATTGCGGACATTGCCACTATAAACATTGGGGTGCAGGTGCCCCTTCAGATCACTACATTTGTATCTTTGAATAACTCCCTGATTCTTGATCTACACTCACCAAGCACTCTCCTGGTTGCATGCACACTTTTCTAGGGGCATATATACTCCAGTTTACTATTTCTCAAAGAAATCCATTATGTCATGTGAATTTCCTTGCTTAGAGTCAGTCCCCTAAGCCCCAAAACCATGGATGTAGTGACTCTTTGAAGCTGCAAAGCTGAGGATTAGGAACTTGAATGTGGAGAATAAATCAATGTATCACCATTCTTGTGAGACTCTACCAGTAAACCCTGAGAGAACATCTCTATCTTGTCAATATTGGATTGCAAAAATATCCGAAATTTGCCCAATGAGTTACGGTTTTTTAAAAATTTTGTTTTGGTATGGAGGTTCCTCAAAAAGTTAAAAACAGAACCACCCTACAATCCACTAATCACAATACTGGGTATTTACCCCCAAAATACAAAAACACTAATTCAAAGGGATGCATGCACCCCTATGTTTATAGCAGCATTATTTACAATAACCAAATTATGGAAGCAGCCCAAGAGTCCATCAGCTGATGAATGGATAAAGAAGAGGTGTACAATAGAATACTACTCAGCCAAAAAAAAAAAAAAAAAGAACGAAATCTTTCCATTTGCAACAACATGGATGGATCTAGAGAGTATAATGCTAAGGGAAATAAGTCAGTCAGATGAAGACAAATACCATATGATTTCACTCACATGTGGAATTTAAGAAACAAAACAAATGAGCAAGAAAAGAGAGAGAGAGAAACCAAGAAACAGACTCTTAACCATAGAGAACAAACTAATGGTTATCAGATGGGAAGTGGGTGGGGGGATAAGGGAAATAGGTGATGGGGATTAAAGAGCACACTTATCATGATGAGCACCAGGTATGGTATGGAAATGTTGAGTCACTATATTGTACACCTGAAACTGATATAACACTGTGTTAACTATACTGGAATTAAAATAAAAAACAATAAAAAAAATCAACTGTTTCAGGGAGGGTGAGGAGAAGGGAATGAGGAAAAGTTAAGGGATATTTGCGTATCTGTGAGAATCATCTTGTTTTTGGAACCAGCTCCTGATTGAATATCTTCACACCCTTATACCTTTCCCCTAGCTACCTCTCTGTACTCCTCAAGCTTGCAATCATTAACTCTTCTAACAAGCATTTATTTGTTGCCTACCATTACTATTGCCAGGTACCATGACAGATCCTGGGAATAAAATGGTGAGAAGACAATGGTCCCTGACCTTGGGGGAGCTTGCAGTCAGTGGAAGATAAAGAAACCATCCCTACATAGCAACCAGGGCAATAATAGAGCTAGGTAGAGAATACCAGCAGGACATGTGGGAAGGGCACATTCAGTTGGAGCAGAGGATTTGCTGTACCCTAGAACCAACTCAGAGTACAGTGCATAAACTCAGGATTTAGTACAGCAGTTCTCCATCTCTCTGCATAACATATGTCTCTGCACACCCCCAAGCCTTCTGTAGGAAAGCCCTCAGACCTTCCTGCTCCTGTCAGTCTTGATGATAAACTACATCTCTCTGCATTGCCCCGATATCTGTCCCTTAGTCTTCACCGAATCTCTCGTGGTTTACACAACATATAAACATAACTGCTTGGCTTCCACCCTGGAGCCTTGGTTATGATGGCTTCCCAGTTACCACTGGGAAACAGAATGGGGCAAACAATTTCTGAGGGTGGGAATCAGTTCCCCTGGCAGGACAGAGCTTGTACTCACAGGCTTGAGATCACAGTGAATGATTTTCTCTACATAAAGCATTTGCAAACACTTCAAAACAGAGAGGGTGAAGCGCCGAACTACTGACAGACTGAAGCCTTGAAAGCTATTATTCTTCATCAACTCATATAAGTTGATTCTGGAAAAGAGAGAGAGAAAGTGATGTGTATCAGTGCAGAAGGTATAATGCTGAGTTTGAACCCGCAAACAATCCCATATCACCTGGTTTCCCTCTGGTAGTAGGCAAACCTCAGACCAGGAGGCAGGGCTTTCAAGTCCTATAAACTCAACCTTCCCCTTGATTCATGGTGGATCTGGTGTGAAGCTCCACCGTGCTGGGCTTTCAGACGTCCCTTGTTTCTTATGTGGCAAGGTCATTAACCACTTTGTTACTCATGTGGGTGTTAAAACGTTGGGCCAAACTTCTGAAATATTCATAGTTTCTCAGGCCCTTGGAAGAGATCCAGGAAGTCCATCACCCAACCAAGTGGCCACTCCTGCCCCAAACTAATAAGGCTATCTAAAGACATATAAATGTTCCTGATAGGTAAGGCAACAAGAGAGTGGATAGATAGGGGCTGAGGCAAAATGGAGAAGCCCTACCCTATCTAAAGTGAGCCTGGATGCTTGGTCCCATCCAACTGTAGCCTTGCAGAAATGAGGGTTTACTCTTGCTAGATTATACCAAATTTTCTAAACAGGAAGAAGCCTGCACTACTGTATAAAAGCCTGCTATATTATGTGAAATCTGCTGACTTACAAATGTTGGAAACAAATGCAAAGCATTTTAACAAGAAAAATATATCTGTGAGCTGCCAGTTTGTGACTCTGCAAACCATAAGATGGGGAGAGGAGGGAAAGAAGGGGCACAATCCAGAAACAACTCCTTCCTGGTTTCTCCCAATCTTCCATTTCCAAGCCTTCTCTAACTCTGGAAGTATTTAGGAAGCTATTCGTTCTTGGGGAGTACAGGGGAGATGTGAAGCTCTAGCCTCATTCTGACTGGCTGTGTGACCCTGGGCAACTCCTAACCTCTCTGGTCTTTGGATTCACCCTCCGCACGCCTGTCCCCCCTCTCTTTTCAGAGCTCTTTTAAGTACAATGACATCTAACTGTGCAAATACTGTGAGTAATGGTCTAGAAAGGCAGCCTGGCTTGTTCATTTTGACAGAAGGAAGATAATTCGCCTCTGTATACTGGGAAGTGGACCACATTCTGTAGTCATCAGAGATGCTGAGAAGAGTATCAACCTTCCTTCTGATTCCAATTTAGCTGGTTCCTAGAATTTCACTAACAGCAATGGTGTCATGGGACCAGCTCAGTGAATCCCATAATACTGAGCCTCTGAGCGTCTACCCTAATTATTCCCCTTTGCTAAATGTTTTCTGGGTTTCTGGTTTTGTTCAAATTATGGAAGATGATCTTCTCAAAGAGAAAAGTAATCAAATTAGCATGTCCTTCCAATTATCACACCCTTCCAGCTCCAATATTCAGCTAGGTGATGCCAATCTATTTCAGTCAGGTTCTGCTTCCTGACCAAAAATACCTGCTCCTATCCTTATTTGCTCAAAATCAAAGTCCTTTCCCCACTGGGAACAGCTAGCTTCCTGTTCCCTTGGGTTCCAACCTCAGCACCACAGGATTATAAAGCCAGTGAGTGGGGACATGGTGGCAAAGGATAGTCCTTTTCAATATATTTCAGTATCAATCTTGAGGGCAGAGGGCTTGAATTGGCTATGTCACCCAGTTTGGCACCCAGAACTTAGGCAGCACATCCTGAGTATGCTGGCAGGTGACAGGCATGACTGAGGCATGGGGTGAGATGGGCAGCTTTGGGCCCAGCTCCTTTGACTCCTTGGCCATCGTGTCCACTCTAGTCATTAAAAGCTCACATCTAGAAAAATCTAGTGTTCTGACCTCAAAGTTTCTCTTCTGTCACCTTAAGCAATTTTTCAAAAGAAAATGAACTAAAAGAAAAAGCAGCTGACCCCAGGAGTTCAAAGGTGATGCAGAGATGATTGCGAAAATAGAAAAAGTCCTTCATGTGTACCACATTGTGGGTGTTGTCTTTGTCCTTCCTTCTGAGAGCTTCCAGGATCTTCAGCTCCACCAGGGCCTGGTGGTGAAATCTGAAGTGGTGGGGGAGTGGCAGGGAGGATAGGAAATGGGGACAGAATTCACAGTGTCATGTCATGCTACAGCAGTTAGCCCCTTTCTCCAGCCCCTCCCCATCACCCCAACAAGACTGTCCAGGGAGAGGAGGCAGAAAGCACTAAAAGCTTCATATTCTTGCTTCCTCTGTGCCCCATTGTGAAATCAGATAGAGAAAGAGGAAAATGATGAGGAAGATCAAAGGAAAATGCAGAGTTAGGAAGGGTTGGCATTATGAAGGGGCCAGAATCACACAGACCACCTCTCCCATGGCCTAGGCCATCTACCAAACCACACCTCTTCTTATTCCTGATGATTTTCAAGGCCACCAACTCATTGTTTTTGTGATCCAAGCACTTGGCCACCTGTCCAAAGGACCCTTTCCCGATCATCTCCAAAACCTCATAGCGGTAGGCAATGTGGTCATGCAGGACCTGCAGAAGCCAGACCAGGGTAAGGAACAGAGTCATAGGCTCTGGGGCTTCCCTGATAGTGGGGCCCCTGTGTCAGCCCATGGTTTACGCCTGGGGGAACTTTCTGAACTGCACCAGGTATTTGTGTAATTCCCATCCTCCTCTCATTGCTTAGGTTGTTGCTCGGATCCCAGGCTACCAAGGTGGTGCCAGGAAGGTCCCACAGGCTCTATCCATGTCAGGCAGTGCAAAGAACATTGGATGGTCTTTAGAAAACTTGGGTTCTAGGGACACCTGGGTGGCTCAGTCTGGTTAAGCGTCTGCCTTAGTCTCAGGTCATGATCAGGGTCCTGGGATCGAGTCCCGCATCAGGCTCCCTGCTCAGCGGGGAGTCTGCTTCTCCCTCTCCCTGCCGCTCCCCCTGCTTGTGCACACACACACACCCACTCTCTCTCTCTCTGTCTCTCTCTCTCTCTGACAAATAAGTAAATAAAATCTTTAAAAATTAAAAATTAAAAAAAGAAAACTTGGGTTCTAGTCCCAGCCCTGCTATTACCTCTAGTTTTCTGCTTATGTGGGAACCTGCAAAGTAAGAGGACTGAACAAAGTGGCTCTCAGGTCCCTTCCAGTTTGGATATTTCATAATTCTTGAATGCAGCTGAGCAGTAGCCTCAGTTTGGGGGAAGTTCTATTTCAGACCCCTGGTGTGTCTGTTCTGCCTCTTCCTGGTCAGATCTAGTTCTCCTCTTGACTTATCCAGATTTAATTCTAACTTGACAGTAAGCAATACAGAACTCAAACCTTTCTCAACTAAGAAGAGAAGCATTTTCCAAGAGCCAGAATCACCCATTCCCTCCATGGGCTGGAAACTAGAGAACAGGTATTTATTCAAAGCAACGGGAAATTTTTAATTAAAAAGACTTTATCTGCGTATCTTCAGACAAGTCACTTACTAACTCTGAGCTGAGTACCCTCATCTGTAACTGAAGATCCTGGATAAGAACCTCTAATGCCTTCCAGTTCTGAGAATCTCTGATTCCCAGTTTTGCACTCAGGAATTTGGGAGAGATGAAAGACATATGTTTGTATACAAGTCCTCAGGAAGTGTTTGTGATTCTGTGGTGGTAGTTCTTTCATATAGCAGGAATCAGGATCATGAATATGAACAGGTACAACTTTACTAATTGTGGAAGTGGATTGCCCTACTTGTATAAGTTTGTTATGACAATGTATAGGGAAAGGGCAAGGGACAAGTTCTGCACATGTTGGCATAAAGGTATTTTGTACAGGTCACCAGTTTGGTTGTATCATAATTATCTATCTACATGTCAACTTTGACATTGATCGTCATTACTTGAGGCTAAGAACCAGGTTGTACTCATTTTTATATTTCCTTTTATATTTCCAGAGTCTAGCACATGCTCAAGCATATGAGAGGTTCTCAAATAGGTATTCAATTAATGATCGCTGACAGAATAGAAATGAGAATGCAATTGTGCTGCTTGTTTGGGAATTTGGCACGCACTGGAATGCAATGAAGATGGAGATTCTGAGTATACAGTGAGCATGCATCATCTACCTGCCTGCCTCCACCAGTAGCATAGCTCCCTAATATTTGAGACTGAGGAACTGAGCTCCAGTGAATTAACTTAAAGGTAGTGCTGACATCCCTGGGGAATTTCCCAGAGACTCTATACCCAGGTAGGGTTTGGGGTGGAGGAGCTAAGGATGTCTGGATGAATTGGAAGTAAGGTTTGTATTGGAGATACTTAACCAAGGATCCATTAACAGCCCACCCCTCTTTGAAACTTTATGTATGTTCAGGGTGCCTTTTCTGGAATAAGTACTTACAGCACATATCAGACTCCCAAAGGGATCCTTGGCCTAAAAATGTTGAGAACCAGGGCACTAGATTGAGGATTTGTGCCAGAAACTCTAAATCCTTCCTTCTCAGAGTGTGACCCAAGGACCAGCAGCATGGGCATTGCCTGGAAACTTTTGAAAAAGGCAAAAATCTCAGGGGCTCCGTCCCACACCTGCTGGATAAAAGTCCACATTTTTAACAAGATCTCCAGGGGATTAGTGTGTATAGTAAAGCTTGAGAAACACAGCTCTAAATACTCTTAAGAAATAATGTCTCTTTGGGGCACCTGGGTGGCTCAGTCAGTTAAGCATCTGCCTTTGGCTCAGGTCATGATCTCAGGGTCCTGGGATCGAGCCCCACGTCGGGCTCCCTGCTCAGCAGGGAGTCTGCTTCTCCCTATCCCTCTGCCTGCCTTTCTGCTTACTTGTGCTCTCTATCTATCTCTCTGTCATATAAATAAATAAAATCTTTTTTTAAAAAAAGAAATATGTCTCTTCTTTGAAGCCATCAAAGACCAATCTTTAAATGTAACCAAGTTGTGAAGAAATGTCCAGAGGAGGAATTTCCCAGTAGCCTACTAACCTGGTAGACTAAGCATCACATATCTGGACATTTTCAGAAGTGGAAATTCCTTTCTGAAGCAAAAGAGACACTTTTCACTGCCCAGATTTTGCCTTCAGGCTGGTAAGAGGCACTGTCCTAGCGAACCCCAGATTACAATCAGAAGAGGAGAAGGAGAGATCCATCTTTGCTAGGATCCATCTTTGGGAAATTGAAAGGAGTCAAGGACTAGGTGCCAGAGACTACAATGACAAGAACTTTTCTTGGCTGTGGAGAAATGGCATTTAAAATGAAATAGAAAAAGGTCCATGTATGGGCTTGTATGGAGAAGACAAAAAAGAGGATGTTGGGAAGACTGCATCTTATTCCATGAAGTATGGCCTTTCCAATGGGTGCAGAGCTATGCAGAAAAAAGAGCCTGTGGAAATTTGCCCAGGACACAAACCTGTTACTCCAAATACTCTTGGAGAAAAATCAGTACTCTGTTAGCAGAGTAGTTTGTATATTAATTGCAGTTTTCCCATTTTTAAACATGGCATTTCTTTGGTTTAGCAACTACTAGAATCCTTCAGGATGCCTAGTCTGAGATGTATTGGCACCAAATGCTATTAAAACACACACACACACACACACACACTTTTTTTTTTTTCCTTTCCAGACTACTTCTTGTCCTTAAGCCCCAGGCCCCTGGAGTTACCATGACCTATTCCCCATCACCTTCATATAGGAGCCGTGTTCATCATCGAAACTTGTTTTGCTGAACTTCTCAGGAGTCATGTGGAGCTTCTCTGCTTCAAGCCCCAGGAACCACAGCTCTGTGTAGCCCAGAATTTCACTTTGCTCATATGAAGATAGCTGGTTCTTAAAAAACTTTAGGGCCTCTGTGTGAAAGACATTATAGTTGTCAGTTGAGGCAACATGGGGATTTACCCAGGGTCCTGATGATGACACCCCTTCTAGCTCATGAGACAGTCACTCCTTTCCTCAACTAGGTGCCTTACTAAGGACCATGTGTCTTGAATCTCACAGGGTAGAAATGTAAAGGATAAATGTTAAGGTGTTGTACTATTTCAATAAATCAGGAGGGAAACACAAGGAAGGGAAAGGAAGAATTTAGCCCTTTGCTAAAAGCTATGGGTTGCAGCAGCATTGGTAAAAATTTGAGGAGGAAAGCTAGTGTCAAGTAGAATGTAGTTACAGCAGCAGTTTCCAAGTTTGACGCTACACAAATAGTTTATCCCAAGAGGGTTTGCAAACTATAATGTCTTCAAGGGCCAGGCAGGTAACTAAGTGCAACTTTAAAGGCCCAGGAGGTATTCCAACTCAAATCTGCAGCTCAGACCGCAAGGAAGGAACATGTGTTTGCTCTTCTCTACCCTTCTCTGGCCAGACCCCATCAGGTGTTTGGTGTTTGGTCTGGTAGCAGGTGGGGTGGGGTTCAAACTTTAAGGAGATAAACTGGAGAGTGCTGAGAGAGAGAGTCCTGGGGTTTGGGGGTGGGAGGGGAAGGCACCACATTATTTGACAAACTGCTGAAGAGTTGGAGAAGGAACTGCCAGAAGGAAAAAAGACATGAGAGACAAGACCTGTGTGAAGGGCAGTCATGTGAAAGCTGAATAAGGCATATTCTTAGCCCAGAAGATAGAACCAAGACCTGAGAGAGCAAGGAAGGAGATATGAGCTCTTTAAAGGCAGAACTAACTCAAGACTGAAGTGATTGCCTTGTGGGTGGTTCCTAAGATTGTTTAAGAAGAGGAAGGACAACAATTTCAAAGCTGTGGGTAAAGAGCTCTAAGTGTTAGATAATGTTGGTACAGTGGGTGTTGGTTCTCTTTCTTTGAATTCTAATAAGGGATGAATCTCTGAACCTTGTGAGGAGTTGGGCTCCTGGCCAAAAACTTATGTGTGATCTTTCAGGCCCAACCATAGGTAATTACAAAGACTTCCTGGCAGGGTTCGTGGGGAAACTGCCATCCCCACACCAGCATTGGTGCAGAGCCAGGACATGAACTCTCTGAAAAGTTGCTCAAGGGCTCAGGTTCCCCTGGGCAGCCATGTGCATATACACATCTACATTTCTAACCCAGAAGCCCCTATTCAGATGTGGGGGGCAGAGCAAGATGGCGGGGGAGTAGGAGACCTGGATTTCATCTGGTTTCAGGAATTCAGCTGGATAGAGACCAAACTATTCTGAACACCTACAAACTCAACAGGAGATCAAAGAAAAGAATAGCAACAACTCTCTAAACAGAAAAGCGACAACTTTCTGGAAGATAGGACATGTGGAGAAGTGAATCCGAGACAATATTTGGGAGGATAGACGGCGGGGGAGGGGGCCTCCATCGGCCACTTCTGGCAAGTGATAGAGCCGTGGAGCACACAATCAGAACTTTTAGAAGTCAGCTCCTCTGAGGGATGTCGCTCCAGTGGCTAAGCGGGGCGTGGAACCCTTCGCGGGACAGTGTGGTCTCAGGAACCTCGGGGTCACAGAAAGACCAGGGGTGCCTGAGTGCGGCAGAGCTCCCAGGGATCAGAGCAGGGAAGCCGGCTGCAGAGACAGAGCCAAGGTGCGGGCTCTCAGCTCAGGGTTGCCATAAACCATGATCCGCAGCACAGTCGGGCCACTGCTCCTCCAGCAGGGACCCAACAAGCGGCAGATCCGGTGAGACTCCCCTTCCTCCCCCGGGAGGAGCAGCACGGGAGTGCACCGCAGGGATCTGCTGGGTTTGGAGACCACACGGGGTTGGGTGACAGAGATAGAAATGCTCGGTCACAGGCCGGGTGAGCA